TTTATTCAGTATTTTTAGCTCGACTATTCGATAAGAATAAGTAGAGCTATTGCAGTCACCCGAGCGTCGGCGTCGGCGTCTGCGTCGGCGTCGGCGTAACCACTTATGTTAAAGTTTTTGTAATAGTTCAAATATTTTCAAAGTCCATTGACATATGGCTTTGAAACTTTGCACACTTGTTCACCATCATGACCCAACCTGTAGACAGGAGGAGGTAACTCTATCAAGCATTTTGACAGAATTATGCCCCTTTTTCGACTTAGAATTTACGTTAAAGTTTTTGTAATAGTTCTAATATTTTCAAAGTCCATTGACATATGGCTTTGAAACTTTGCACACTTGTTCACCATCATGACCCCAACCTGTAGACAGGAGGAGGTAACTCTATCAAGCATTTTGACAGAATTATGCCCCTTTTTTCGACTTAGAATTTACGTTAAAGTTTTTGTTATAGTTCAAATATTTTCAAAGTCCATAGACATATGGCTTTGAAACTTTGCACACTTGTTCAACATCATGACCCCAACCTGTAGACAGCAGGAGGTAACTCTATTAAGCATTTTGACAGAATTATGCCCCTTTTTCGACTTAGAATTTACGTTAAAGTTTTTGTAATAGTTCAAATATTTTCAAAGTCCATTGACATATGGCTTTGAAACTTTGCACACTTGTTCAACATCATGACCCCAACCTGTAAACAGGAGGAGGTAACTCTATCAAGCATTTTGACAGAATTATGCCCCTTTTTCGACTTAGAATTTACGTTAAAGTTTTTGTAATAGTTCAAATATTTTCAAAGTCCATTGACATATGGCTTTGAAACTTTGCACACTTGTTCACCATCATGACCCCAACCTGTAAACAGGAGGAGGTAACTGTATCAGGCATTTTTTTTACTATCAAGCACTAAGAATAGTCGAGCATGCTGTCCTACCGACAGCTCTTGTTTAAATTCTTGCCCTTGACTTAGTAAAAGATTTTTAGTTTAAAACTTGTGTTTACAGCCCCCCAAAAAATTGACACCGAGTCAATAGATTGACAAAACAGTTGAGTGTGGGGGCAAATGTGTCCTATAGACACATTATTAGTTCATGTTTGAAAGGATGATAACATGCATGGTCTTCTTCCTTTGGATTGTGTTAGGGGACAACCTGTGATCAACCTTTTATACTTTTCCAATACAGCCTTTATTTATAGACAGATGTCTTTCGTATTTGTGATGAAGATATCTTGCATGGTCTTCTTTCTTTGGATTTAGTTATGGGTCAAGATCAGGGGTGCCAAAAATTGATTTCTACACATTTGCTTATACATTATTATGATGTTTTTCATGTTTGGAAGGAACATACTTTAGATGGTCAAGTGTTTAGAGTCACATGGTCAAGGTCATTTGTGCTTATAATAGATTTTGTGCACTTTTTAGCTCACCTGACCATGAAGTGGTCAAGGTGAGGTATAGTGATGGGGCTTTGTCCTTTGTTGTGCGTTGTTCATCTTCGACAATTGGGTTGTTAACACTCTAGCAGTCACAGTTTTGATTAGATCATATTCAAACTTGTCAGAATGTTGACAGGCCAAGTTAAAATATGGGTTATCTCTGGTCAAAAGCTATGTCAGAGGAGCAAAAAAAAATAGTAAAATCTTGTTAACACTCTAGTGGCTGCAGTTTTGATCCAAATATCCTTGAAATTGATCAGGAAGGTTGCTTTGATGATTGGAATATGGATCACCTGGGGTCAAAAACTAGGTCACACTGCCCAAATATTTAAAACCTTGTTAACACTCTAGAGATCACATGTTTGACTATTGTCATCACAAACTTGGTCAGGATGCTTGTCTAAGTAATTGCTCGGATGAGTTTGATGGGTCAGGTGAACGATCTAGGGCCATCTTGGTCCTTTTGTTTAAATAGCCTTTGTGTTTTTTTTCACCAATGTGTCATATTTACAAGGAACATACCTAAGGTGGTCCTTTAAGTTTGGATGGAGTTTGGGGTCACTGAGTTCAAGGTCAAGGTCTTGCATTTATATATATTTTATAAAGTTTTATTTGTAAGTTATATATTTTTCAATTGCATCACAAGTCAAAGCAATGACTTGCCAACTATTTCACAATTACAAAAGGCCATGTAGAATTATATAACTGTGTTTACAATCATTTAGCAGTTTTTGTCCTTAACTAAATGAATGGGTAAACCTCTTTTGAAAAATTGTCACTGACAAGAATCTGAGTCAGGACATTTGTGTTTAATAAACTCATTCTTGTTGCTAGAGCATTCTAAGATATTTGGGCATAACTCACCTTGGGTGACATCCTGATTTTGATGCAGTGATTTTTAGCTCGACTATACGAAGTATATGGAGAGCTGTCCTACTCGCCCCGGCGTCGGCGTCCGCGTCCGCGTCCAGATTTTAGATTAAAGTTTTGGTGCAGTAAAATATTTTTCACTATAACTTTGTCATTTCTTAAGGTATCAACTTCAAACTTCAAATATATGTTCCTTATCATCAACCACATCTTATGTGACAAGGTTCATAACTCTAGCACCAATATTTTCAGATTTATCTCCCCTTGAACTTAGAATTTTCCTTAAAAAAATACTATTTTTTACTGATACTTCTTTATTTCTTAAGGGATCAACCTCATACTTCAAATATATGTACCTTATCATCATCCCCATCTTATGTGACAAGGTTCATAACTTTAGCACCAATATTTTCAGATTTATCTCCCCTTGAACTTAGAAATTTTCCTCAAAAAATACTATTTCTTACTGTTTCTTCTTTATTTCTTAAGGGATCAACCTCATACTTCAAATATATTTACGTTATCACCATCCCCATATTTATGTGACAAGGTTCATAACTCTAGCACCAATATTTTCAGATTTATCTCCCTTTGAACTTAGAATTTTCCATAAAAAATATTATTTTTTACTGTAACTTATTTATATCTGAAGGGATCAACTTCATACTTCAATTATATTTACGTTATCATCATCCACATCTTATGTGACAAGGTTCATAACTCTAGCACCAATATTGCAAGAATTATCTCCCCATAAACTTAGATTTATTTACTAGAAAAATGTTTTATATTTTAATCTAACTTTTTTTTTTTTAAAGGTATCTACCTCAAACTTCAAATACTTATTCCTTATCATCAATTACATTTTATGTGACAATGTTCATAACTCTTGAAGCAATATTTACAGATTTATCTCTCTTTGAACTTAGGATTTTCTTTAAGAAATATAATAACTTCTTTATTTTTTAAGGTATCTACTTCAAACTTCAAATATATATTTCTTATCATTACACAAATGTTGTGTGGCAAGGTCCATAACTCTAGCATGACTATTTCTAGAATTATTCCCCTTGATCTTGGAATTTATGTTAACAAATGTTATTTTTTACTGTAACTTAATACATAATTATACATAATTGATTTTTCTTTCATAGTTTTGTCCTCCTTACTGCGTCCAGTATTTCATTAGTCGAGCTTCGCTGTCTCCTGTGACAGCTCTTGTTTACCAATACCTCTAACCCTTTCCCTCATGAGCATATTGTGCCCTTTCCCTCATGAGCATATTGTGAAAAATGGCCGTTTTCATTGAAAAGCCTCTTGATTCAAGTTCAAACTGCTATGAAACTATGAAAAATGCTTCAATACTAATCAAACTTGGCACAAATGTTGACTGGACCATTGCCTATGTAAAGACATGCTCAGTCTTAAATTTCCTGTTACCATGGCAAAGATGGGACATCTCAAAATTGCAAAAAATCACTATTTTGTGTTGATTTTTCCATCAAAATTGATTTCAAAGTGCTGCATCTTTTCAATTGATTGAGATAGAGTCAAAGGCTTTTGGTTACACATTACCTTCTGATCGACCTGGGGTCATTTTTAGCCTCTCACAAGTCAAAAATTTTCTTGGCTCAAACCCCACAAACAGAAGGGGGCACATCCCCCTTCTGGCAACCCCCTGACCACTGATGTCCCTTTATGATAGGGGACCGGGCCGAAAAGGTGATCATTTTTTTAGCAACATTTTCAAAAACAAACAGTGTAGGGTAATTTTTCACTGTTTGAGGCCTCCAAAAGAGGAGGTGGGGGGGGGGGGGGACACGTCTATATGAAGTAAAGGGTTAAATGACCTCCAAGGTTAGTTTCTAGCTCACCTGTCACAAAGTGAGCTTTAGTGATCAAAATTAGTCTGGCGTCCGGCCGTCCATCCAGCCGTAAACTTTTACTTAAAATGACATCTCCTCAAAAACAGCTAAGCCTATTTCATCTATTTAACATCTTCTAGTAAGTGTCTACCAAGTTTGTTCAAATAAAAGCCCTTGGGTCAAAATTGGCCCAGCTCCAGAGGGTCATTGATTTTCCTTATATGTGTATAGTAAAAACTTAAAAAATCTTCTTTTAAAAGTCCCATATAGCTAGAGATTAGATATTAAGCATGAAACATCTTCTAGTGAGTGTACCAAGTTTGTTCAAATAAAAGCACTGGGGGTCAAAATTGGCCCCACCCAAGGTGGGTCATTGATTTTCTTTACATGTATATTGTAAAAACTTAAAAAATCTTCTTTTAGAAAAAATCCAAAGAGCTAGAGCCTAGATATTTAGCATGAAACATCTTCTAATGAGTGTCTACCAAGTTTGTTTAAATAAAAGCCCTGGGGTCTAAATTGGCCACGCCCTGTGTAATCATTGATTTTCCTTATATGTACACATCTTTTAGAACTGTTGTTTTCCCTTAGCAATAGCAACCAGTTATGTTTTACACATGCACTATTTCAGATACAAATATGATCTTTGTGATATCAGTTTAATATCTGCTTTCTTGTTTATAGTTTACAATATTACTTGTTTCGACCATCATGGTCCTCTTGTTAATAGTTCCTGAAAATATGTTCCTAAATAACATAATTGTGGTGGATTTAGGGTGGACTTTTCAAAGTTTTACTGATACTAATTTGATAATTTGATATTTTTAGATGATTCAACAGAGGAGAGCAATAGTACATCTGTATTAGCAACATTAGCTGCCCTTGCAGAAGCCACTGCTCAAAACACAACAACAAGTAAGCTGACTGGTTTAAAATTGTAGGATTTATGTAACTGTATTTCTCTGATAATGCTATGAAAAAAGTTTTATTATTGATAAAAAATGTATTTATATTCAGAAGGAAACAATTTTAAGTCCTGGAAAAGGGATTTTGCAATATTTTAAAACTAACTTAATAGTTTGATAAAATTAGGTTAACAGATTGATTAAAACAGCTACACAGTAAATTTAAACATTATATTGTTGTTGATAGTTGACAATGTTTTGGTTATACTTTATTTGCCCCGTTTTGAAGAATGCCTGGTATATTGTTTTGCCAATGTTGGTCTGTTGGTAGACCACTTTGTTTATACTCAGTAACTAAGAACCATTATGACAGACATTTTTGAAACACCTTGGGCTGATCACCTCCTATGAGTAAAAGAACCCTACTGTTGTTTGGACATAAATGCATGATGGTCAAGGTCACAAAAGTGGCCATGAAAGTAAAAACTCTTTCTGGACCATGTGCAGAGTTTGAGATTTAAATTGAATTTTAATATTAGCTGACCTAGATTTTGACAAGTGACCTACTTTCTTGTCCTTTGATGTACAGCTATGAAATTTAAACCATGTGCACAGATAAGATGTAAATTTAACTTTGATATCCACTGACCTAAATTTTAACAAAGTGACTTACTGCCTTGTTCTTTGATGTACAGCCATGAAAATTAGGCCATGTGAAATATGACCTTGACCACCAAATTAACTAGACTAAACTGCATTATGGCAAAGTTCAATTGTATAAAAACAAAAACAAAATCTTCTGTTCCTGCACTTCTATCTAGTGTTGTATTAATGTGGTGGCATAGCATTTTTTACAAATGCAATCTTGTTTTAGTACTAATGCTTGATGGTCAAGGTCACAGTGACATTGAATTTGAAAACCATTTCTGCTCAGTCACTAAAGAGCCATTTGACTCACAGCTATTAAATTTGATAGACAACCACTGTCAATGAGTAGAAGAGCCTATTGTTAATGCCAATGTGTGAAGGTCAAAGCCACAGTGACCTTGAATGTGGAAATCATTTCCACTCAGTCACTAGAGAATCATTTGACCCACAGCCTTCTGGTTGCCGTCATTAAGTAGGTAACCTTTATTGATTTCGTGCCAATGCATTATGGTCAAGGTCAGGCCTAAATAAAACTGTGTAAGAGTAACTTGCTCACTAGAAATACATGTAGGTAAGGTAGGTTGTAATTTTTTTTTTTTGGGGGGAGGGGGGATGGGAAGGTCCATATAATATTTTTATATTTTGTCATGCTCTAGGCTGTGTTATGCATTTTTTTTTCATGTTTAAATGACATCTTGTATTAAAAATCATGTTTAGTTCTGAGCATCTAAATCCTTAGAAAATGTTCATGCCCTGTTTTTACAATAGTGTTGGGTGGGGTACGTGAAAATTGGCACATTTTAATAATGATATCTTGTTTTGTAGACTCAAATCAGCCTGATTTATAGTACTTGCTATTCATTTTTAGCTGGACTATTTGCAGAATAATCAAGCTAATGCAGTCACCCATTTGTCAGCGTCCCTGTGGTTAAGTTTTTGCGTGTAAGCTTGTATCTCCATAACTACTGAAGGGAAAGGATTGAAACTTCACACACTTGTTCCATGTGATTATCTTACATGATTGGCACAAGTCCAATAACTCTGATTTGCTTATTTGCTTAATAATGCCCCTTTTTCGACTTGGAAATTCTTGGTTAAGTTTTTGCGTGTAAGCTGGTATCTCCATAACCACTGAAGGGAATGGATTGAAACTTCACATACTTGTTCCCTATGATTATCTTACATGATTGGCACAAGTCCCATAACTCTGATTTGCTTATTTGCATAATTATGCCCCTTTTTTGACTTAGCAATTCTTGGTTAAGTTTTTGCTTGTAAGATGGTATCTCCATAACCACTGAAGAGAATGGATTGATACTTCACACACCTGTTCTCTCTGATTATCAAACATGATTGGCACAAGTCCCATAACTCTTGAATTGCTTTTTTAGCTCACCTCTAGCGGTCACCTTTTTGCCTCAATCATCATCAAACTTTGTCAGGATGTTTATCTAGTTGATAGCTCGGATGAGTTTGAACATGGGTCATCTCGGATAAAAAAGTAGGTCACCGGAGTTTAAAATAGAAAAACCTTGTTTACACACTAGCGGTCACATTTTTGCCTCAATCATCATCAAACTTGGTCAGGATGCTAATCTAGTTAATAGCTCAGATGAGTTCGAACGTGGGTCATCTTGGATAAAAAAACTAGGTCACAGGAGCTAAAAATAGAAAAATCTTGTTAACACTCTAGCAGTCACATTTTTGCCTCAATCATCATTCAACTTGGTTAGGATGCTTGTCAAGGTGATAGCTCAGATGAGTTTGAACATGGGTCATCCCGGATGAAAAACTAGGTCACCAAAGCTAAAAAAAGAAAAACCTTGTTAACACTTTAGCGGTTACATTTTTAGCTCGACTATATGAAGTATATGGAGAGCTGTCCTACTCGCCCCGGCGTCGGCGTCTGCGTCCAGATTTTAGATTAAAGTTTTGGTGCAGTAAAATATTTTTCACTATAACTTTGTCATTTCTTAAGGTATCAACTTCAAACTTCAAATATATGTTCCTTATCATCAACCACATCTTATGTGACAAGGTTCATAACTCTAGCACCAATATTTTCAGATTTATCTCCCCTTGAACTTAGAATTTTCCTTAAAAAATACTATTTTTTACTGTTACTTCTTTATTTCTTAAGGGATCAACCTCATACTTCAAATATATTTACGTTATCATCATCCCCATCTTATGTGACAAGGTTCATAACTCTAGCACCAATATTTTCAGATTTATCTCTCTTTGAACTTAGAATTTTCCTCAAAAAGTACTATTTCTTACTGTTTCTTCTTTATTTCTTAAGGGATCAACCTCATACTTCAAATATATTTACGTTATCATCATCCCCATCTTATGTGACAAGGTTCATAACTCTAGCACCAATATTTTCAGATTTATCTCTCTTTGAACTTAGAATTTTCCATAAAAAATATTATTTTTTACTGTTACTTATTTATTTCTAAAGGGATCAACTTCATACTTTAAATATATTTACGTTATCATCATCCACATCTTATGTGACAAGGTTCATAACTCTAGCACCAATATTGCAAGAATTATCTCCCCATAAACTTAGATTTTTTTACTAGAAAAATGTTATTTTTTATTATAACTTTTTTATTTTTTAAGGTATCTACCTCAAACTTCAAATACTTATTCCTTATGATCAATTACATTTTATGTGACAATGTTCATAACTCTTGAAGCAATATTTACAGATTTATCTCTCTTTGAACTTAGGATTTTCTTAAAGAAATATAATAACTTCTTTACTTTTTAAGGTATCTGCTTCAAACTTCAAATATATATTTCTTATCATTACACAAATGTTGTGTGACAAGGTCCATAACTCTAGCATGACTATTTCTAGATTTATCTCCCCTTGATCTTGGAATTTATGTTAACAAATGATATTTTTTTACTATAACTTAATACATAATTATACATAATTGATTTTTCTTTCATAGTTTTGTCCTCCTTACTGCGTCCAGTATTTTATTAGTCGAGCTTCGCTGTCTCCTGTGACAGCTCTTGTTGACTCAATCATCATCAGACTTGGTCAGGATGCTTGTCTAGGTGATAGCTCAGAAGAAGTCGAACATGGGTCATCTTGGATAAAAAACTAGGTCACAGGAGCTAAAGATAGAAAAACCTTGTTAACACTCTAGCGGTTACATTTTTGACTCAATCATCATCAGACTTGGTCAGGATGCTTGTCTAGGTGATAGCTCAGATGATTTCGAACATGGGTCATCTTGGATAAAAAAAAACTAGGTCACAGGAGCTTAAAATAGAAAAATCTTGTTAACACTCTAGTGGCTACTGTTTTGATCCAAATATCCTGTAAATTGGTCTGAAAGTTTGTTTTGATGATTTCTAGGTCAAGTTCAAATATTGATCACCTGGGGTCAAAAACTAGGTCACACTGCCCAAATATGGAAAAACCTTGTTAACATTCTAGTGGTCACATTTTTGGCTCAATTATCATCAAACTTGGTCAGGATGATGTCTAGGTAATTGCTCAAGCAAAAAATAGAAAAATCTTGTTAACACTCTAGTGGCTACTGTTTTCATCCAAGTATCCTGGTAATTGGTCTTAAAGTTTGTTTTGATGATTTCTAGGAAAGTTCGAATATGGGTCACCTTGGTAAAAAACTAGGTCACACTGCTCAAATATGGATAATCCTTGTTAACACTCTAGTGGTCACATTTTTGACTCGCCTGTCATCAAACTTGGTCAGAATGCTTGTCTAGGTAATTATTCGGATGAGTTTGATGGGTCAGACGGGCAATCTAGGGCCATCATGGCCCTCTTGTTGCATATTTATGTCCCTTTTTCGACTTACAAATTCTTGGTTTAGTTTTTGCGTGTAAGCTGGTATCTCCATAACTACTCAAGGGTTTTTGCCCTTTTTTGTGACAATTTTATGCATTCATTATGAATGACCAAGCAGTGATGTACTCGATAAAACATCTTAATTACAAGCCTTTGTACCTTTTCAGACAATTTTATGTATTCATATAGGTAAGCATTATTATACTCAATGAAACACCCTTGTGACAACTTTTTCGATTAGTTGAGTGTGGCTGTCCTCCGACAGTTCTTGTATTTAATTATTCCTTGTTCTGAAATAGGTGCACCCAGAAAATTTCTCCAAGAAAGAAAGCCTCTCTTTTCTGTTTTTGGGTGTTGATTCATGAAGGTCAAGGTTACAGTGACCTTGCATGTGTTAACAATTTCCACTCAAAATCAAGAGAACCAACTGACCCTTTTGTTTTTGGCCAGGAGACCCTGACTGAAAACGGTCATTTTGACATTTCTTATTGCATTTATCTTTTGCTTTGTGAAGGTCAGGCAGTTCCAAAATGTGGGACTTGTTAAAATGTTTTTGTTTATAACTTCTATTGGTTTTTTCAGGTTCAAGTAATTCTGATGCTATTAATTGGTTAGAAAGTCAGGGAATAACAATGATATCAACATCAGATGGTAATATCATAACATCTGCTGTAGAAAGTGGTCAAACAATAACTCTTACAGGTGAGCCAAAAGTAAACTAGGGTTATTTTACTAAAATTACTATAGTTTTGCTCTTGTTAATTGGTTTGCTTCATATATTAAACTTATTATCATTGCTTTTAAGTATTTTGTAGTGTGTAATTATTCAAATTAATTCCTCTAATTTTCATTGGTTTACATGCTCTTAGAATTCCTTTAAACTTGGCATGTTGTTTTAATATGATAACAGAAACATTTTAAGCGAAAAAAAATTGGGGTCACCGTTCTTGTTTTTGAGTTATCTGCCCTTGAATTGGACTTTTTTGTTAAATTCAAGGGCAGATAATTTACAATGAATGGAAACAATACATTTTATTTCTTATTTTCATGAAGCTTACCTTCGTTTTAGTAGGTATGCAAAATTTCAAGAACAAGGAAATAAAAGGAATTCTATTGAACAGTTTTAATTTTGCCTATATGTCAACTCCCGTAAACGTCCTTTATTATTTCAGATTACACTCCAGGCAGTTTTATCTCATAGTGATATATACATATCTAACATCTTCCAACCAAATATGGCAAAGTGAAAATATTTTCGGTGATATTTTTGCCCGACTTTGCCCTAAACACAGTCCAGCAAAAGTCTTTAAACCCCGTATTATAAATATGGCTTTTATTTTGTACACAAAAATCAACATTTTTATGCCCCCACAGAGTGGGAGCATATAGCGTTGCACTTGTCCATCCGAGTGTCCGTACGTCCGTCCGTCTGTCCGTACGTCCCGAAATCTTGTGAACGCAACTCCTCTTAAACCGGATGGCAGGTTTTGCTTAAACTTCCAGGGATGAACAACCTTAATGTGTAGATGGCAGTAAAGGAAGGAATTTTTGCTGCGACCAAATTTAACAGAATTATGGCCCTTTGTTGATTTTTTCACTATATACTATGTAGAAATTTTGTGAACGCAACTCCTCTTAAACCGGATGGCAGATTTTGCTTAAACTTCCAGGGATGAACAACCTTAATGTGTAGATGGTAGTAAAGGAAGGAATTTTTGCTGCAACCAAATTTAACAGAATTATGGCCCTTTGTTGATTTTTTCACTATATACTATGTAGAAATTTTGTGAACGCAACTCCTCTTAAACCGGATGGCAGATTTTGCTTAAACTTACAGGGATGAACAACCTTAATGTGTAGATGGTAGTAAAGGAAGGAATTTTTGCTGCGACCAAATTTCACAAAATTATGGCTCTTTGTTGATTTTTTCACTATATACTATGTAGAAAGTTTGTGAACGCAACTCCTCTTAAACCGGATGGCAGATTTTGCTTAAACTTCCAGGGATGAACAACCTTAATGTGTAGATGGTAGTAAAGGAAGGAATTTTTGCTGCGACCAAATTTAACAGAATTATGGCCCTTTGTTGATTTCTTTTTTTCAACTTGTGGCACAAGTAGTCCAAAAAATATTTGACCTAGAGACATAAGATTGACAGAACAGTGGCGTGTGGGGGCATCCGTGTCCTATGGACACATTTCTAGTTTTATTTATTTCATTTTAACTTTGGATTGGGAATTTTTGCCTGTGAATTGGGAAAAAAGATACTATTTTCGATTGGTAATAACGGCCAAAAAAAAAAAAACCCTGGAAACAATAAAAAAAATCTTCTGTTCATACACTTCTTTTTAATGTTGTATTATTGCATTGACAAAGCATTTTTATGCCACCACAGCATCTGTGTGTGTGTTTGTATGTATGTATGTGTGTTCTATAGATTATTTAGTGAACTTAAAAAATCTTCTTGTGAAAAACCACTTGTCCAATTTCAACCAAACTTGGCAGGATTGATCCTTGGGTGAAGTGCTTCCAAAGTTGTTCAAAGAATTTCATTCCATGCAGAAATCTGTTTGCCATGGCAACCAAAAGGAATTATAAGAACAAATTTTAAAAATCTTGTAAAGACCCACAAGGCCCAGAGCGTAGATATTTTGCATAAGGCATTGTCTGGTAGACCTCTACCAAGATTGTTCAAATCATAGCCCTGGGGTCAAAATTGGCCCTGCCCTGGGGGTCATTGATTTTCACTATATGTACAAATATTAAAAACCGCCTCCGTGGTCGAGGGGTTAGAGTCGATGACTTCTAATCCAGTTACCTCTCTGGCGTGGGCTCGATCCCCGGGAGATGCTTTGGTAGTTAAGCATGGAGGAAGGTAGTCTAGTACTGGTGTAACTCCAGGAACGATGGTTAGGAAACTGCCCACCTAAATGACTGAAATACTGTTGAGAAAAGGCGTAAAATCAAACAAACAAACATATAGTAAAAACTTAAATTATCTACCGGCTCTTTTGTTAAAAGCGGTCTAGTAAATCACTTACCGACCGCTTAACAGGTCTGCAAATATATATCAACCTGTTTTTGTTCTATTGTTTTCTCCTGCATTACACAATATTCAACGTAAATGCAGAAAATTTGAAAAAATAAGGCTTAATTGTGCAAATTTATATGTTTGGGGGGGGGGGGGTATTGAGCACTTCGATTAGGAAAAAGGGTCAATATATATTTAAAAGTACATTTCATCAAATTAATAGAAATAAATTAATGCATACGGCTGTAAGGACCCTCATAACATATATTCCAGATTATTTGTGAGAAAAATGAACTGGCTGTTCTGGCCTTGAAGTTGGTGTTTCACCGATAAAAATGAGTACAATAACGCACATTTAGCCTTCCTTTATAGTTTGCTTTTTGGTATACCTAACACATTTGCCGAACTATATAGCTTCATAAGATACTAGTTTTCGGCACTTATTTCCACAACCATGTCTGATTAAAATTGCACAATCCTGCATTATTTTAACAATTCTGCATTATATATATATACGATGATTATATTATTGGTGCATATCTAATCAAAGTCAACCTCTGCATCTTTCTTTCCCAAAATATTACTTTCAGTGAGATTATAGTTCATCTTAAGTAATAAATTATTAAGACCTTTTTTTTTATCTTTTTTTCCCCAATTTTTTTACATTACAATTTGGATTTTAAATACCAAATATTTTTAACTCGCCTGTTCTTCGCAGGAATACGACTTCCATTCTAGACTGTGTGCTTACATGCGGTTTTATCAAACATATGAATAATTGATGATGCTAGTTAAGAATGCACCGAAAGAAAATTCTTCCAAACATGAATGAAATTCTAAGAATATTTAATATCAACCATCATAAAAAAAACAACAAAAACCCAACTTACATGACAGTATATCTACATGTATTACTATTATTTATTCATAGAACCCTGTCTTTTACTTTACTTTAAAAAAATCGTATATTTTAATTATATTAGAAATAGCCTGATCATCTATTTATTGAAATTTATTACATATAAAGATAAAGTGTTCCGTTTTTATGATTAGAAAACTTTTTATGCCCCCGCCATGTAATGGCCGGGGCATATAGTGTTACCCTGTTCCGTCATTCCGTCCTTCCGTCCTTCCGTCCTTCCGTCCTTCCATCCTTCCGTCCTTCCGTCATTCTGTCATTCCGTCATCATCAGTTTCCGTTCATTATCTTAAGAACGGTTGGGCACATTCAACTCAAATTTGACATATGGATATGTCATGAGAAAATACAGGTCAAGTTCGAATTTGGTCATGGTTCGATGATTTTTGGCAGAGTTATGCCCCTTTTACTTTGAAAATAATATGAAATTTCAGTTTCCGTTCATTATCTCAAGAACGGTTGGACACATTCAATTCAAACTTGACATATGGATATGTTATGAGAAAATACAGGTCAAGTTCGAATTTGGTTCTGGTTCGATGATTTTTGGCAGAGTTATGCCCCTTTTACTTTGAAAATAATATGAAATTTTCAGTTTCCATTCATTATCTCCCCAACGGTACAACACAATCAACTCAAACTTGACATATGGATATGTCATGAGAAAATACAGGTCAAGTTCGAATTTGGTCATGGTTCGATGATTTTTGGCAGAGTTATGCCCCTTTCACTTTGAAAATAATATTAAATTTTCAGTTTCCGTTCATTATCTCCCTCAAGGTACAACACATTCAACTCAAACGTGACATATTGATGCGTCAAAGGAATGCACAGGTCAAGTTCAAATTTGGTCGTGGTTCGATGATTTTTGGCAGAGTTATGCCCCTTTTAATTTGAAAATAATATGAAATTTTCAGTTTCCGTTCATTATCTCCCTCAAGGTACAACACATTCAACTCAAACGTGACATATGGATGCGTCAATGGAATGCGCAGGTCAAGTTCAAATTTGGTCATGGTTCAATGATTTTTGGCAGAGTTATGCCCCTTTCACTTTGAAAGTAATATGAAATTTTCAGTTTCCGTTTATTATCTCCACAATGGTACAACACATTCAACTCAAATTTGACATATGGATATGTTTTTGGAATGCACAGACCAAGTTCGAATCTGGTCATGGTTCAATGATTTTTGCCAGAGTAATGCCCCTTTCACTTTAAAAATAATATGAAATTTACAGTTTCTGTTCATTATCTACCTAACAGTGTTACATATTCAATTTTAATTTGACATATGGATATGTCAAAGGAATGGGCAGGTCAAGTTGGAATTTGGTCATGGTTTGATGGTTTTTTGGCAGAGTTATGTCCCTTTCACTTTGAAAATAATATAGATACATCTTAGGAATAAGCAGTTTAAGTTTGAATATGGTCATGGTTCAATGATTTTAGACAAACTTATCTTTCCTGAATGTTGGAAAAATTTTGAACTTTCAGTTTCAGCACTCGTCTTTTAGCCATTATTTTGGCTACAAATATGCAATATGCTTTTTCTAAAGGTTAAGACTGAATAATTTCAGTGCCTTGAACGTTGTATGGAAATGGTTTGTGTTAACATTGAAAAGTTTTAAGGGCTTTGAACTTAAAATGAAAAAAAAAAATTAATGCACCATCTGAAATTTTGGCTGCATGCGGGGGCATCCGTGGCATGATGACACATTTCTAGTTTTTATCTTCCTCACTATTTGTATATA